AGAACTACTTCTTGAGAAACTGTTTCATCAAAGCCCCTTGTAACTCTTCTACTTTCGTTCACACATGCTTTATAGAGCTTCTCCCACATGGCACATGCCACTGGGGAGACAGTGATGAATAAGGCAGTTTCCGCAGCCAGGCAAGCTGGTGAGTGCTTTTATGGAGCAGCAAATTATACCCACCCCAGAACCAGCTTTTCAGCAATACAATCCATGTGACCCACCTCATAGCCCAGTTTGTATGATGCCCTACACTGTTTAGGGCAACCTTCCAAGCCTACTTTTTCAGTAGATATATGAGCCTATCCAGCATTTTTCAATACTATAAAAGCAGCAAAAACTTTATTCAAATTTTACCAGAAACTGACTATAGGTTGAGTATCCCTAACTTAAAAATCTGAAACTTGAAATGCTCCAAAAATCTTTAATTTCTGGAGCACCAACATGACACAAGTGGAAAATTCCACATCTGACCTCATGTGATGGCTCACAATCAAAACATGGTTGTCCTAAAATTATCGTATTAATTACCTTCAGACTCCATGTACAAGGAAAATATAAAACAAATTAATGCCATGTTAAAATTTGGGCCCCATCCCAGAGTATCTCATTGTAGATATACAAATGTTCCAAAAATCCAAAACACTTCTTGTCCCAACCAATTTGGATAAGGGATAATCAATCCACAAAATATATAAAGCAGGTAATAGTGAGACTGGTCTGGTGGAAGTGGTGCCTTCCTTCACTTATGAACAGCACCTGGGGTCTTCTACGGGGCCCCGGGGCCCCCCATGACACTTGTTTAAGACCTTCCTCACCACTAAGATAGATCTTGCTTCTTCACAAAAGCAGGAAGATGGACAGCAGGTTGATTTTTTTCCCTCCATATAAAATGCAGCCTTCAAAGATCTTATGACTCTGACTGAATGATCTTTGTAAAAAGGAAATCACAATCCAGTCTAGAAAGGCCTCATGGTACAGGTGGAAGGTGGCCACATGGGTTCAACCCCTGGGTTATACTTACATATTGTGTGGTCTTAGGCCAGTGACTTACCTGTTCGACCCCAAGGAAGTGATGGAACATCTGTGTGTTGCAGTTGCACCAGCTATTAAATAAGGAAAATAATATTTATGAGTCAGGTTTTTGTAAGAATTAGGGGAATTGGCTGGCGCCGAGGCTCACTAGGCTAATCCTCTGCCTGCAGCGCCAGCACACCGGGTTCTGTCCCGGTTGCTCCTCTTCCAGGCCAGCTCTCTGCTGTGGCCCGGGAGTGCAGTGGAGGATGGGCCAAGTTCTTGGGCCCTGCACCCACAAGGGAGACCAGGAGAAACACCTGGCTCCTGGCTATGGATCAGTGCGGTGCGCCGGCTGCAGCAGCCATTGAGGGGTGAACCAACGGAAAAGGAAGACCTTTCTCTCTGTCTCTTTCTCTGTCCACTCTGCCTGTCCGAAAAAAAAAAAAAAAAAAAAAATTAGGGGAATTCATCCTTGTGAGGTATTTAAAGTTCTGTCTGGAAAGGATTTTTAGTAAGTTTGATATAATATAATTGTTGCTCCTGATATTTGCCATTATTCCTGAAGAATCTTTCCAAATTTATTTATTTAAGCAGCAAAGAGAGACAGAGAGAAAAAAAATACAGGCAGAGAGCTCCTATTTGCTGCTTTACCCCTTAAATGACCTCAACAGCCAAGGCTGGACCAGGCCGGGCTAATTCCAGAATTTAATCCAGGTTTCCCATGTGGGTAATAGAAACCCAATTCCTGAGCCATCACCTGCTCACTCCCAGAGTGTGCATTGGCAGGAAGCTGGAATCAGGACCAGCGCCAGAACTCAAACCCAGATGCTCTGATATAAGATATGGGTGTCCTAAGTGGTTTCTTAACCTCCAGGCCAAACACCTGCCTCTCAAAGGAGACTTTGACCACATCTCAGGATGCTGTAAGAAGGATTCTTATGACAGAAGTGAAATAGGACTAGATATCCTCCAAATATCTGGATTAGTCAGGATAATCTAGGTTATGCCACATTAACAAACCCTGAAAATCTCAATGGCTTATGAGAACCAAGATTTATTTCTGGCTTGCACCAAATCTTATACAAATCAGCCAACTCCTGGCACAGTTCTTGTTCATAGGGGCAGTGACTTGGGCTGCTCCAAGCTTTAGGGTAGGCCTTCTCAGAACATGGTCCCCATGGTCACTAAGGAGGAAAGAAAGGGAGGGTCAACCTAGAAATGATATTTATCACCTTGCTCACAGTCCACTGTCTGGAACTGCTCATACAGCCGTGTCAAAAAGAGGTAGTAAGTTAAAGGCTATGGATATTGGATAAGCAGTTATCTTCCAGCACTTTAAACGACAATAAAGAGCTGTGTCCATCCCTGTGCGAGTTGTCAGGTGGTGTAAAGATACTGTTGTGGAACCACAGGCTTCTTACAGGGCTGTGTGAATTATGCCCTGATCTTTAAGGACTTCTTAATGGAAAATCACCTATTTGTGATTTATTATATCATAATGACCTGAATGACTCTTTGGTCTTATTTTAAAGATGAGTGACTAGGAAAAAGTTATTCCAAAAAGTAGCCTATTTCTTAGTAAGGATTTTTTGAGAATTCCTTAAACACTTTGGAGCCTTTGTTATCAAGATCCATTGATTTACATGTATGCAGCTTTGCAATCATTCTCTTCCCTCCTCTGGAATGGTTTATGCATTCATCACAGACAGGATTTGTTCTGCTTATGTGATCACGATTGAAGATCAATAGAAAAATTGCATTTAAAGATATGATCATTTGTCCTTCCAGTCATTTATCATCAATGCCATCTCTCATCTTCCCCTGAGGTAAGCGCTATTTCTCCTGGTTTTTTCTCTCAGCTTTATAATTAATTACTTGATCCTTTTCTTTTAACCTTGCAGTTGAAGTTTTTCACTTCACTCCTCTTGCCATCTTAAGAGAGGGAAGAAAAATCAGAAACATGGTTTGTTTTCTCAGAACCGAAGGAGATGAACCAGGGAGAAAGATAGGAGAGTTTCCTTTCAACTAAATGAACAAAGGGAAATAGTAGAATAGAAAATCGAGACTCATGAGCCAAGTTTCAGGTGGTTCTGCCTGACATGTCTTTTGAAGAATTCAAAGGCGCACAGTGAATGATCATGCTGGCCTCATTTACAACAATGACTGCTTTAAGTAAAACGGACAGGTTGGGAATATTGCATGAGCTAGCCCTTTCCGCAGAGATAGACTGACTCTTGGGTTAAAGTTGTCCAAAGCTCAAAGGGATGCACTGTGTTATGCTGGAGCTGACTTACAGGATCTGAGAAAAGAGAAGCCCGGCTCCAAGCCTTCATCTTTGGCCCACTCCACTGCAACTGTGATCGGAGCCTTTCAAGGCTTTGTTTCGGGTTGAATTTGGGGAGCGGTTGGCCAGATCTGTTCCTTGATGAATGTCTTCGCTTTAATCTGCATTGCAAAGCCATACGCTTCAAAGAAAAGCAAGCTACAGGAATAAGGTCAGTGTCCCTTTGATGCCAGGGTTCAAAGATGAAATAGCAGTCCCAGTGAAATGACAATGTTTATGCACAAACAGCCACCTTCGCTCTGCAGCCAGGCTTCTGGTACAGTTAATGCACACAGGCTGAGGGGCTGCAGGCCGGGCGTGCATTCCATATGCACCGAGGCCCTTTTAAACTCCTGGCCTGTCACTCTGTGCAGTGAAATAGCCCAAAGTGGAGATTTGGTTTCTCCAGCCTAATGGATAGTGGGTGGTCCCCCAGCCAAACCATGCGGTAAGCCCCTTAAGGGCAAGAAATGTGTCTTGAGTTAATTTGGTGTTCCTCTGAGTGTCAAACTCAGTGCTTGGCTTAATGAATATGTCATGATTCAAGTTCCATCTTGCCGGCCTGCTCGATTTCAGCTAATTGAGATCATGGGGATGTTTATCTCATAGGCCTGGGGACCAAGATCTTTCAGCGATTGTGGTTACTTTCGGAGAGGTCCAGAAAGATTGCATCTCAGTCATTTCCTCCATCTAGACATGGTGCAGGCAGTGGAGCCCCAATCTACATTGACTCCCTTAAGAAAGTATTGTCAACAGTTGTCTTATTATTTGGTTTAAATCACTGGTGCACATTTTTCAATTAGTCAAATTATTTTTCACCTTGCAACCTTGACCTTACTTCTCTGCACCCTTTTCCCCAACCCTGGGGCACCTTTCACTTCTCAGAGAAAACCACGGTTGTATAGCATGGATGACTGTGGGAGTGTGGTCTGTGCCCAGCCCACCATTTGCTCCATTACTGGCAGGATACTCGTCCTCCTTTAGTCTCAGTTCCTCCACTGTCAACTGATATTGTCAGATGATTAAATGATGGAGTGTAGATAATGAGCTAAGCATGTTGCTTGATATAAGTGGTCAATGAAATTCCATTATTTTTTATGTGTCTGCTTTCTTCCCTTCCCCACATTTGTAATAGCTTTTACCCACCCTGGGATTCTTCCTTTCTCTGTGACTTGGCACCTACTCCATCCATAAATCCTGCAGCCTATTCCTCTGACATATGAGGGTACTTCAAATAGTTCATAGAAAAATGGAATTAAAAATGTTTATTTATGTGCAAAAATAAAATTTGAAACCCATGCATAGTTTTTTCATAATATGCATACTCCATGTAATATGAAAAGAAATGTTTTTTTTAAAGATTTTATTTATTTATTTATTTGACAGATAGAGACAGCGAGAGAGAGAGAGAGAGAGAGAGAGAGGTCTGGCCGGCGCCGCGGCTCACTAGGCTAATCCTCTGCCTTGTGGTGCCGGCACACAGGGTTCTAGTCCTGATCGGGGCGCCAGATTCTGTCCCGGTTGCCCCTCTTCCAGGCCAGCTCTCTGCTGTGGCCAGGGAGTGCAGTAGAGGATGGCCCAAGTGCTTGGGCCCTGCACCCCATGGGAGACCAGGATAAGCACCTGGCTCCTGCCTTCGCATCAGTGCGGTGCGCCGGCCACAGCGCGCCGGCCGCGGTGGCCATTGGAGGGTGAACCAATGGCAAAGGAAGACCTTTCTCTCTCTCTCTCTCTCTCTCACTGTCCACTCTGCCTGTCAAAAAGAGAGAGAGAGAGACAGAAAGGTCTTCCCTCTGTTGGTTCACCCCCCAAATGGCCGCTAGGTGCTGCACCGATCCGAAGCCAGGAGCTAGGTGCTTTTTCCTGGTCTCCCACATGGGTGCAGGCGCCCAAGGACTTGGGCCATCCTCCACTGCCTTCCTGGGCCACAGCAGAGAGCTGGACTGGAAGAGGAGCAGCCGGGACTAGAACCTGGTACCCATATGGGATGCCGGCGCCGTAGGCGGAGGATTAACCAAGTGAGCCACGGCACCAGGCCCCAAGAAATGTTTTTTTGCACCAAAGTCAAGTCATACTTTCAAGTCCACTTTCCCATGAACTTTTGAAGGCCCTTCAAATGCCCGTATTCTCGTCACTCCTCACACTTCACCCCTCCCTTGCTCACCTCACAGCTGGATTGCTGGAGTAGTTTCCCAAATATTCTCCCCACTTCTGCCCCTCCCTTTCTGAGGCTTGTTCTCCACACAGAAGCCAAAATTATCTTTAAGGAAAAAGGGAGAGGGACTGGCATTGCGGCACAGTGCCTGGGATGCCAGCATCCCATATGTGAGCGCCAGTTTGAGTTCTGTTTTGCTTCTGATTCAGCTCCCTGCTAATGTGCCTAGAAAAACAGCAGAAAACAGCCCAAATACCAGGGACCCTGCCATCTACATGGGAGACCTGAATGGAGTTCCTGGCTCGTGGCTTCAGCATGGCCTAGCCCTGTTTGTTTCAGCCATTTGGAGAGTGAATAAGTGAATGGAAGAGTCTATCCGTCACTCTGCTGCTCTGTCTTTAACTTAAGTAAATGTTTAGGGGGGAAAGGGGGGCAGAAAAGTCATAACTCAAACCATATTACTCCTTGACTCAGAACTCTCCAACAGTTTCTCTGCTTGCTCAGCACAAAGTTCAGTCTGTGGCCCCTGAAGTCCTCTGGAACGTGCTCCTCCACACTTACCTTTGTTTGATGCACCCAGCTGGCAGCCTGCACTCCTAGAGTACAGAGGGCAGCTCCCATGGAGAGGCCTTTGCACTTGGTTCCTCCAAAGCAGCAGTAGAGACCAACATCTGTGTGACCCCCGCCCCCGCCCTTCCCTCACATCTCCGCTCAAAATCAACCGCATTAGGGGAGTAGCCCTATCCTAAATAGTGCACATTCCTTGTCCCTCTAATTTTCCAGGACTGTCTTTCATCTCTATAGCATTTAGGGGCACCTAACAAATTATGTATCTGCTTATTGTCTGTTTCCTCACTAGAATGTAAACCCCGGGAGAACTGAGACCAGTGCATAGGTTCTCAATAAATATTTATGGAAAGAATTCTCCTCTCTGCCTTTCTTATCTCAACAAATAAACAAGTCTCATCTCCTTTACTCCTTGGGCTTTCTTTTCCTCTTTTCCGCCTTCTAGACCCACCAGCCCCTTTACTCAACCATGAATTTATCAGTTCCCCTCATACTAAAAAGCCTTCCCTTAAGCCTTCTTCCTCTCCGAACAGTGACCGAGTCTTACCCCTTCCTGCTTCCTTCTCTGCCCCTTCTCCCCCCCACAATCAGTTTTCAGCTCCTTCAGCTTGACCTCTGATCTTTGGCTCTGCAGGCCCTGCCCCCTCAAAGATCACTCTAAACCTACTCTCCTTCTGGATTGCAATTGGCCTCTCTGCGTCATTTGTTCTCTTCGAAAGTGGTCTTCCCCTAGTTGTGGGGATGCTCTTTGCTCTTGTCATGCTTCTTTTATTGTCCTTTTTCTTCCTCTTCTTTTCAGCTTGGCCTCTTTTCCCATCTCTATTGGCCAGAATTCCATCTTCTGTTCTCTTAACATCTCCCTCTGCCCGAGTTCCCTCACCTGTTTCCTTTGCTTTGTCTGGAGACGTGCCTCTCACACCTGAACCTGCATCTGATTCACCTGGAGGGAGGGTTAAAGCAGCTTGTTGACCCCACCGCCCAGAGAGTTCTGCATGAAACACTCCCCGCAGTTCTAGCAAACTCCCAGGTGACAGCGACGCTGCTGGCCCAGCCTTTACCCTTCGAGAACCACTGCTTTATAATAACTGCGCAGCCATCCTATCCCTCCTACCAGGTACTAATGGACTGTGGATTTCTTATGGCTAGAAACTGTCCTATCATATCATCTTTATATCATCAGCACAGTGCCTGACATGATAGTTTTTCAACACGTATGTTCAAGCTGAATTGAAAAGAATCATGTGGAGACCCAGTTGTGCCATGACACAGATGCTGATAAAAATATCTATTCAGAGCCATCTTTTCATTGATAGACTTGAACAGACTCTCTGAACACTTACTGTTAGCCAGATGAGCAATTGAACTTGCCCACCAAGTTCAGCCTCTTCCTTGTAATTCTTGCCTATGTTGGTGTGCAGTCTTGTTCATTACATTTCTGTGCTTCATATACTGTCACCTGTGTTGGGAAAACCTGCCCACATGTCCTGTCATCACTGCTTGTTTCATGAAGACGGGAGTGCCTGCTGAGAGGGCAATGGTAGTCCACAGCTTCACTTGGGGCTCACCAGAAATGCAGAAAGCATTTCTGAATCACACACTCTAGGGCAGCGGTCAGCAAGCTGTCTTAACCATCACTCCAGGTGGTTCTGGTGCAGGCTCAACTTTAAGAACCATGTTCCTACATAAAGGAAAGGATGTGGGTGACAGCATTTTCTCAGAAGGAAAAGTCGAGAAAACAAGGGATGGAATTCTGGAAAATTCAGGCAGAGGGAGAGGACACAGCAGAAAATCAGGAAGAATTAGGAAGAAGAAAAGGCAGATAAAAAGAAAATCTCCCAAAAGAAAATCATGAAGCATTTTTTGATCCATTTCTTTCAGCCTGTTTAAATCAAAATATCAACTCTGTTTACTCAGTCAACATTACCTCACCTATTCTTCCCAATACCTGTGCCTACCTACCTTGGAATAAAGGATAGCAAAGAATTCTTGCCCTCATGAAGGATCTGTGTCTTCCAACAGACTCTCCCTTGACTCCATGCTTTCATGTAAAGCCATTAAGGATTCATGATTGCAAATACTGACTAAGTCATTTGATTTGATGGTAGGCAGCTACTATGGTTTGGTTGTGATTTATCCCCCTAAGAATTTATGTGTTAGATGGTTGCTCTGTATTGTGGCAATATTAAGAGGTGGTGGAACATTTAAGAGATGGCATGTACTGGAAGGCCATTAGGTCTTGCTAATGAAAGTAGATCTTGTGGGATTCCACTATCCTCAAAATTATGAACTGCTACAAAAAAACAAAACTGGTCCTCCCCACTCCTTGGCTACTGTCTTGCCATGTGACCACTCACTTGCACACTCTCAACATTGTGATGCTATCACCATGAGGTCCTCACCAGAGCTGACCCAGTGCCAGCACCGTACCCTCAAACCTCTATAACTGTGAGCTAAATGAACCTCTTTTCTTTATAAAGGACCCAGCCTCAGGATTTCACTGTGGTAATAAAAATAGTCTAAGACAGCATTTCACAGAGACATTGCCATTTCTGTATTAACTCATGTCTCTTGAGATAGACAAGGTGGTATTCATAATAATTACTGAAATTCTCCATTTCTACATGTCGCTCCCCCTCTTCGTGGAGGAACGACACAGGACCCTGCGCTGTTCTTTCATCTGCTCGGCCCTCCCCGGGTTTGCTGCTGGTTCTTCCCGGGTTGGCTACTATCCCTTCCACCTCCGTGGAAGGGCAGTTCCCCCTGGCCGCATTCCCCACTTCCGCAGGGGAGCGGCACACCGCCGGCCGGCTCTCTGGGGGCTGCACGGGTTCCCTTAGATGTTCCCCATAGATGTTCCCTGGTGCATGCCGTCTCTCTCCTCCTTTATAGTCCTCCTCCGCCAATCCCAACTCGGCTGAGTACGCTGCTCTCCAATCAGGAGCAAGTCCTACAGTTAATTGGTTGAACTGGAGGCAGCTGTGCGGAAGCTGTTTACTTCTCTCCCAGCGCCATATTGTGGGAGAGCAGATGCATAGAATAAGTCCTAATTCGAGCAACTTAGTCTAGTCCGGATTGCTCCCCACACTACAGTGCATTTTTAATACATAGAATCAATTTGGTCAGAAAGAAGATCCCCATGGGCAACAATGCTAAGTGTTTTCTAAGAATAACTGATGACAAAACATTTCATATTCATAACTTGGAAGGGATGGCTTTCCCTATAATTATGTGGGATCTGCATGACTTTGTACTGTAATTATCACCCCTTTTGGGCTACCCATCTTCCTTATATGATTGTTAGAATTTGAAAGCATGGTATTGAACAGATGCCAACTTTTTTTATTAAAAAAGATGATCAGTTCAATCTGAAATATCTATTGATCAGTTTCATCTATTGATTTAGCATTTTAGTATCAAATACTAGGATTCTTGTTATACTTTCAGTTACTTATCAGGGTGATAGAGCAGTTATATTGTCAAACATGTGAAATTAACTCTTCTTTTAAGTACCAACCTACACCAGAGACAGGAATAGTTGGAATGACTCTGATTAACAGGCCAGTACTTAGTTTGGATTACTCCGTTGGATACCTCCTTCCTTATTTAACAAAAAATAGTTATAGAAAAACTCATAATGTTTGTGATTTAATCAACCTTCTCCCATCTGCTACTTCAATGCTAGGCTGGTGGGATAATTGCCAGCTTTGAGTCACAAAAACACTTATCACTATAACACGCACAGAAACATTTGACTTTTTGTAATCAAGTGGCCAATAGAAAAGGAGACAGAAGTGGGAATTTACTTATATGCGAAAATATATATGGAATTTCAGTTTCTAGTGTATGAGGTCAGATTTCATATATTTACATCACTGCTAATAAATTCTCCTCTGATAAATTTAGGAAAAATAGGATTATTTTTCTTCAAAGTCACACCTATGCCTCCCTGCTCTTAAAAAGAGTTACTTGGGGCTGGCGCTGCGGCTCACTAGGCTAATCCTCCACCTTGCGGCGCCGGCATACCGGGTTCTAGTCCCGGTTGGGGCGCTGGATTCTGTCCCAGTTGCCCCTCTTCCAGGCCAGCTCTCTGCTTTGGTCAGGGAGTGCAGTGGAGGATGGCCCGAGTACTTGGGCCCTGCACCCCATGGGAGACCAGGATAAGTACCTGGCTCCTGCCATCGGATCAGCGCGGTGCGCCGGCTGCAGCACGGCGGCCGCGGCGGCCATTGGAGGGTGAACCAACAGCAAAAGGAAGACCTTTCTCTCTGTCTCTCTCTCTCACCGTCCACTCTGCCTGTCAAAAAAAAAAAAAAAGAGTTACTTGGTCGTGAGGGGGTACGCCTAGATATTATGTAGGTAGGGCTAAACTGAAGATAAAAAAGAACATGCTCCAATGCATAGTTTCCTTGGAAATAAAACAATTAGCTATACAAGAGCCTCAAAAATACAAGAGTTTATCCGACAGAATGACAATGTGAAGTTTTCTCTGTAGAACTTCATGCTTTTTGATGTAGTAGTCAGGTATTATTGCTGCAAAAAGAGGACATAAGTCATAATATCATCACTCAAACTTAGCTATTATCCAGATAATTTCCTCAGTTTCCTACTTGCAATATATAGGCAAGAAAGAGAAAATTAGAGAGCGAGCATAGCTCGAGTATGAAACTCACATTTTTTTTGTCAATCTGAGTTCAGAAAGCAAGTAAGAAAAGGACTGGAGGGAAGATGCACTGTGGCACAGCGAGTTAAGCCACCCCCATATTGGAGCACCAGTCTGAGTCCCAGCTGCTCTGCTTCTGATCAGGCTCCCTGCTAATGCACCTGGCAAGGCAGTAGATGGCGGTCTGGTCCAAGTGCTTGGACCACTGCCACTCATGTGGGAGACCCAGATGGAATTTCTGACTCTTGGCGTCAGGTTTGGGTCATGAACCAGTGGATGGAATATCTCTTTCTCATCTCTCCCCCTTTCTTCTTTCTGCCGTTCAAATAAAAATAAATACGTCTTTTAAAAAAAATACAAAGAAAAAGATGGGGAAACTGAGTCTGTAAATTAGAGCCAAGGACTCCCACCACCACGACTGTGCTGGTACAAGGAATTCCTCTTCAGGCCGTGTTTCCATTGCCCATTAGAAATCAAAATCAACTTCAGACCAAGTCTGGAGAGGAAAAACCAAATAGAAATGCCCCCCACCCAAGAGGCCTCCCCATACTTAAGTTTTTGTGATGTTTTATTTTTCTGGTGACTTGGGAAGTATTCAAAACATTCCACTAGTAGGGAAGTGGTTACCTCTGCCATAGAGTTCTACTCTCACATCACTCACCGGGCCCAAAGTGAACGGGGCGCTCTTCTCTTTTCCTTTGAGTGCTGCTCTCTGGGAGAAGGCTCTCTGTTTCTGAACCAAGCACTGATGGATTTTAAATTTGCACGTGGTTATATAACAGTGTTATAATACACAAGGATACTTCAAAATGCTCATTGAAAAACAGAATTGAAAGTATGAGTTTACCTTGTTGCATTTTTTTAAAATCACTGCATGGATTTTCATGTTATACACTGTCCATACATTATAAAAAAACACCTGTTTTGCATCAAAATAAGTCCTCCTTCTCTGTGGGTTCTACATCCACAGATTCAACTGTGATTAAAAATAATCGGTTTTAAAAAAATTTCATCTGTACTGAACACATAAGATTTGTTTCTTGTCATTACTCCCTAACCAATATAGTACAACCAGTATTTACATTTACATAGGTATTATAAGTAATCTAGGAGTAATTTTAAATATATGTGAGAATATTCCTAGATTATATGAAAACACTTGGTCATTTATATACAGGGACTTGAGCATCTGTAGATTTTGGTGTCTAAGTAAGTCTTGGAACCAATCCCTTCTGGATACCATGGGATAACTACATAATAAATATTTGGTTATGCAGTATCATATTTTATGGTGATTTTGCCTATTCTAAAATTAAGACTGGGTCTTTTGTCTCTTCATTTGAAACCTCCTGAGTCTTGTCACTGAGAACATCTAAGGGGCCAGAGATAAGTGGTGTCTATACAACAGGAAAAAAATCTGTGTTGTTATATATTAATGTTAGCTGTCGCAAAACACACCGAACACTGGAGTAAGATTGAAGAAATCCAGGTCGCTAAAAACAGAGAAGTCAAAAATTGAAACTGATAAAATTTTCTTCATAAAAGAAAAAGTATCTCTCTACAAAATTGGAAGAAAGCAATCAGGCCATCTCTGATTCCCCAGAGACGTGCAGCCTTCCTCATTTTCCACCCCTCATCCACACAGGCCTTTCTTGCTTCTGAAAACAAACACAGGTGGTCCTGGGCTCAGATAGGCTCAGAGCCCAAACTTGGGACCCAGAGGACATCTGGACTCAGAACAGCATGCTGGAGTGGCCCTTCTAGAAGCCCTAGAGACCTCTCGCAACCACCCTTTTTTTTTTTTTTTTTTTTGACAGGCAGAGTGGACAGTGAGAGAGAGAGACAGAGAGAAAGGTCTTCCTTTTTGCCATTGGTTCACCTTCCAATGGCCGCCGTGGCTGGTGCACCGCCACGCTGATCCGATGGCAGGAGCCAGGTACTTATCCTGGTCTCCCATGGGGTGCAGGGCCCAAGCACTTGGGCCATCCTCCACTGCATTCCCGGGCCACAGCAGAGAGCTGGCCTGGAAGAGGGGCAACCGGGACAGAATCCGGCGCCCCGACCGGGTGTGCTGGCGCCGCAAGGCGGAGGATTAGCCTAGTGAGCCACGGCGCCGGGCCCCAACCACCCTTTCTAAAACAATGTCCTCTTCCCTGTAAGTCACTCTGTTTCCTCCCTTATCCTGCATTGCTTTCTTGATAGCATTTATTACTACTGAGAATACTCATTTGATTCCTTCGTTATTGTCTGTCACCCCTAGGAGAATAGAAGTACCATAAGGGAAGATAAACTGTCCCCAACCTCAAATACTACATGTCAGCTGAATAAATGACACCATTCAGCGGGGCCACATCCCAGCAAGCATTCCTCAGGAAGTTGTATTTCCCCATGCATACTCATGGTTTTTCCTCTATCTGAAAGACTCTAATCTCTCCTTACAACACACTATACCTACTCTTTATGTCTTGAATCCCTGTTAATCCTTGTAAGCCTGATCTTGATGGCCTCAGCTAAAAAATAACCCTTTTCTCCTCAAGTATCCTGCAGTTTCTTGCTCTTATTATGTTAGTCACATACACATCTAACCTGCCTAGTCACACACACATCTAACCTACCCTACAAATAGATAGTGATTCATTATTTGTGCCTTAAGTATGATATATGGGAGTGAGTGGGCACTGAATACTATATTTGGGATTAAGTAGATTTCATGAACAAACCGTGGAATCTATTCATAATTTATAAACAATTACAACATCATTTCTTTAGAGGTTGCCTATAGAGTTATTTTGGTTCAAATATTGCATGAATGACTCTTTGTGGGCCAACATCTAGAGTCCCTTTCTTATTTGTTGGATAAATGAATAATTTTACATTACCTTTAGTAAGAATTTGTCTAGACATCATCAGATATAGGGTAAGATAAGCCTAGGTAGTTCAAGCCAACGCGGAATATAGCAAAGCAAAAATGGAGTTTTTCCTTTAATTATCCAAGCAGTTAGCTGCATCCCTCACTTAAGGTTTCTTATGGAGACACCATCTAAAACTCATCATGCATTTGACTTTTTTATGCACAGTAATCAGCAGGGGCTGGGCACCAGCCATTGCTGTGTCCAAGTTGAAGTACATTCTAAAATAGAGAAGAGCAGGCTGACTCTTAAGCGTCCAAAATGGCATTTTCCATCCACCCTCCTTCTCCTCCCCCATCTTAATGATGATTTGCACTTAAGATGTTTTTCAATCAAGAAACTCCATGTTTTCATGACATTGCTTGGCGACTAGTAATGAGAGGTTGAGGAAACTTAAAAACTCCCACAGAAAATTTGGGTTTTCTCTCACACCATACAGCCAATTACACCATACAGCCAATTAAGGAAGAAGGGCTTCAGATTTTGAATCCTTGGAAGTTTTTCATAGTATCCTAATCCTTACCATTCATATTAGTTAAGGTATATTAACTGCTGTAACAGACAAATCACAATCTATCAGTAGTTTATCCAATAGAAATTTACTTTTCCCTCAAATAAAGTCCGAAAACCTGGTGGTTCTGATGGTCAGAGAGTTCTCTTCCAGGAACCCAGCCTCCTTCCAGTTAGTGGCTCCCCATTTGCCTTCCTAGTTTGCTGACAAGGGGGTAGGGAGCAAGGAGAACCATGTGTGGGATGCTTTCAGGGGCCGTGACAAGAAAGGCGCCTTACATTTCTACCCACATTCCGCATGACTACGCCTAACCACAAAGCAGTCTGGAAAATGAACTTAAGCATCCGCCTAGGAGGAGGAAATGAGGCTGATGAATAGGTGACCTCCATCCAGGACATTCTTTCCTCAGACTTGCATGTGGACAGTTACAGTGGGAAGATACGGTGGACTATTTAGACAGTTTCCCAATCTCTTTCTATAGGCCCAGTAAATGAACTCTTGACCTGAAAATAGGATAATAGTACCTAAGAACAAAAGAAAAATAAAGTCTAAAGGACTGAAGATGGGTCTCTTTCCTTTTATAGGGACTCTCGGGGCTACCAGTCTGGCTTTTACTCAACCACTTCTGGTCCCTTTTTCATAGAACTCAGTCCCAACACCTGGCAGGTATTGATGTCAATATCATTACTGTGCTGTGAAATCCCTCAGTGCTATGTCCTTTCTGGAGGCAGAGAATGGACTCTGAAGGCAATACTTCTGCAGAAGAAAGTTAAATAACACAGTATTGGAACAGCTCTGGAAGCTGGGCCAGGAGAGGGGGAATGTATATTTTGGAAACAGTAACTTACAGAAATTAAGAACACTGGTGTTGGTGGTTTTTGCATTTTTACTCATTTATATGTATTTGAAAGGCAGAGAAACAGAGAAGGACAGAGCTCTCCCATCTGCTGGTTCACTCCCCAAATGCCTGACAAGAGCTGGGAACTCAATTTGGGTCCTCGATGGGGGTGGCAGGTATTACTTGAGTCTCCATCTGCTGCCTCCCATGTACACATCAGCAGGAAGCCAGACTTAGAAGCAGATCTGCGACTCAAATCTAGACACCCCAGTATGGGATGTGGGCATCCTAAGTAGCAGTTAAACTGCTATACCAAAAACCCACCCCAAGGATATTATTTCTGGAAGAGGGTATGTGATAAGACAAAAATAGCATCATTATCATAAAATTATAAATTGCTATTTAAGACATGGACATTTAGGCTAATTATCTGAATTGCATAGGTTTATTTTGAGTCATCCCTGACTCTTACTCCACTGCCCTAGAGTTCTTTTGGGACTGTATACTACAAGGAAGATAACAGGCTTGAACAGGTATCTAAATTGTGATGTTTATCACATTAGCACCCAGCCCTTGACAGACTGGGATAAGTAGACAAAAGAGAAGACTGAATTCTGAGCCATGATAGAGAAATAAAGCCAAATGTTTCATATATAGATTGAGTTGATATGAAAATAAAATCCTGATCAACACCACTTTAAGCACTTCATCTACTTT